TTTTGTCTGAATTTGGTGTGAAAATTAATGTTAATATAAATTGAGAAACAGKGATAATGATGGAACTGACAGGTGCAAGCTGTAGTAATTTACTCTGCGAGTAAATGCAGAGTTCAGTTTGGATCTCAGTTGCTGTCTTCAGTGTCACCCTGGCTTTTTGCATCATGTGCTTTTCGAATGCGTCACATCTTCTGTTATCCATAGGGAAAATGTGCATTCTGATCTGTGAGCTGCTGTGAAAACACCAAAAATAATGTGCAATATGACTCTAGAGTGGTGAGGGGAAGAACGCACTAACCTGTTACTRCCTGTCTAGGTGTCACCATGGGATAAAAGGGAAGAAGCAAACAAAAAGAAGCTGGAGTTTGCAGTAGGGAAGAGTGACTACCTGGCTCTTCTCCAGGCCTATAAGGTGAGTTAAAACTCAGTAGCCTCTCCCAGGGTTTTGTGATGTGTTTGAAATTCAGATGGAAATATTTCATTTGAAAATCTTCCTCYCATCCTCTCAATTAGGGATGGCGTTTAAGTATCCAAGAGGGCTCTCAAGCAAGTTACAACTACTGCAGGGAGAACTTCCTGTCAGGAAGAGTTCTTCAGGTAAGAGTGTTCATGGCCTTGTACAGTCACAGAAATGAGGACAAACTCTACCTACTGGGCATAGCAGCCATCACCACCACCCTCTGTCTGTTTGCAGGAAATTGCCAGTCTGAAGAGGCARTTTGCAGAGCTGCTTTCTGACATTGGCTTTGTGAAGGAGGGATTGAAAGCCAGGGATATCGAGAAGAAGTGGTCCCACGGAGGTGATGGCGTGTTGGATGCCACAGGAGAGGAGGTAATTCACAGCATTTCAGTGCTTCAAAATGATGCAGAAATACTGGGGCCAGAGATCTCCTGTGGCTACATCATGATCAGGGTTTGTAGTTGTAGGATCTTCCTGTGCATTGGGACAACTTGTGCTTGCTTTCTGTCAGGTGCAAGCCACTTGGTAGCCACGTCAGAGAACAATTCAGCTGGGCACTAACTGCACTGGGACAGTGGTGGCTGATTTGCTTCATTGATAGTGGGGGGAACACAGCCCAGGTCCAGCCTCAGGCCTCRGGAATGGTGATTTGTTCTCCTCCATAAAGCACAGGAGAGCAGCTATAAGAGTGAACCAGTTTCAGAAATTCTGTAATTCCTGGGGCAGGACTTCACCTTTACACACCAAACTGTAGGATCCTTAATTGTCTCCTATTGATTTCACAGGCAAATTCAAATGCAGATAACATCAAGCTGATCTCAGCCATGTTGTGTGCTGCACTGTATCCCAATGTTGTCCAGGTAAAAGAATGCTTTTTTATTTTCCCTTCTTCAGCATATCCACACTGCCTGCATTGATTTGGGTTGTGTGGCAGACTTGAGCCTGGCTTAGGTTGCCARAGTTTGCTGTTTTTGTGTCAGACACTGGAGCAGAGCTCCAGTTTGTATTGCTTGAGACTGCTGCTGCTCCTGCAGCCTGATGGCAGTGTCACACCAAAGCCAGCAGCAAATGCTGAGAAACTGCTTTAAATTACAGCTTTTTAGAGGGCTGAGGTGACAAATGAGGTCAGGGTTGGTCAGCAGMTGGAGTGTAATACCTGTCTCTAATGACCTGTTACTAGAACAGAATTCCCATTTTTGAAAAATTTAAGACATAAGGTTAAAAGATTTTCTGGTGCAGCAGACTTTTATAACCTTTTTTCTTACCATTGCAGGTGAAAAAGCCAGAGGGTAAATACCAGAAGACCAGTACAGGAGCAGTCAAAATGCAACCAAAAGCAGAAGAGCTGAAGTTTGTGACTAAAAATGATGGTTATGTTCATATTCATCCTTCATCTGTGAATTATCAGGTGAGGATTCTTTTTTTCTGCAAAGCATGCACTTTTTTAATGARAGGAATCACCTTTGCTTGAGTATTTAATATTGCAGTAAGGGTTCCTGTTGATGTTTAAAATAAAAAATATTAATGAACAGTTCTGTGTTAGGATTGTAAATAATGGTGCATTCCTGAGTTAGGAATGTCCACATGGTCAGAGTTAAAACTCCAGCCTGGAATGGAACTTGTGGGTTCAATAACCCCTACTTTTGTGTTTTCTTAAGCTACTCCTGCAAAGTWAAGTTTCAGTTGTAATGCTCCCCTGGTTTCTCTCAGTAATGATTATCTATTGGCAGATAATTCAGGGACTTACTCTGGTTTGTTTGAGTTGGCACTGGTGAATTAGCTGATTTCTCACATGGCAAGGTGGGAAGGACCAAGGCATAACTGGCAAAGCTGTTGGCAGCTCTTAGGGTCAAAGATGTTAGTGATGCAGGTGCCCTTCAGGTATATTTGCTGCTTGTTGCAGCTGTAGGAGAGGCAGAGGAGCAGGAAGAGCTGTGTCACTCTAACTCTGTTGTGTTCCTGTCACAGATCAGGCACTTTGAGAGCCCGTACCTGGTGTACCACGAGAAGATCAAGACGAGCCGCGTGTTCATCCGTGACTGCAGCATGGTGTCCGTGTACCCGCTGGTGCTGCTCGGGGGTGGCCAGGTGCACATGCAGCTGCTCAAGGGTGACTTTGTCATCTCCCTGGATGACGGCTGGATACGCTTTGTGGCTGCCTCTCACCAGGTGAGGAGAAGGGATCATCCTGGGAGAGCTGCAGAGCTGGGCTGGAGCCCAGCCTTATGATTCCCCCTGTGTTTTACCACGTGTGTTAGGTGGCTGAGCTGGTGAAGGAGCTGCGCTGTGAGCTGGACCAGCTGCTTCAGGATAAAATCAAGAATCCCAGCATGGATTTATGCATGTGYCCCCGTGGATCTCGGATCATCGGGATGATTGTCAAGCTTGTGACCACACAGTGACATCAGAACAGCTTTCTGTAAAGATTCAGTCAGCGCCACTGCCTGACAGACCAGCTGACATCAGTGTCTTGATGTATTTATTTATCTAAAACATGGCACTGACCGCTGGAAGAACAAGTTGGCAACTGTACTGTTTACAGTTTTGGTTTTTTTTTTTTTTTTTGTATGCTCGCTTGTAGAAAGGTGTCTTACAGTGCACTCTGGGAAATGGGAAAACAGCAAAGCTTCCAGAAAGAATAGAAACCTTCAAGTAAGTGTTTTTCCATGGGACTGTAACCTGACAGTAATGTTTTCTGGGCACACAAGTATGTGCTAGCCAGCTGTTTCTTGTCTGGAGGCAGCATGTGACATAGGGATCTGCTCTCAAATTGGTTTAAACTCACTCCTACATTTTGACCAAGCCTTTACTGAGGCAGTCAGGTTTGGCTGACCAGAGATGCTTTGCTTACAACTCAACCCAAAGCCATTATCTAAGTGGGCACCTTTTTGATGTGTGTCAAGAGGTTCTGAAATTCAGAGACTGTCCTGGGGTGAGGAGACTGTCCTGTATCAATGACAGTGCAGTGTTGGATCAGTGCAGGTTCTTTTGGTGACAGGGTCAAACTGCAGGAGGGTGTGGACATTTTCCCTGAAAGAGAGGCTGTTCCAGCCCTTCCTCCACGGAGCAGAAGTAAAACAGCTAAAACAGGACTGCTGCAGTACATTAAAAATGAGTTATTGGCATTGCTAGTTGTTAACCTGCTCTGGTATGGGATAATCCTCCTGTCACCCTGCACAGCTGGAATCAAGTCCCACTTCYGGAAACTTTTAGCCAAACTCCTCCTCTGGGGACTGGATTGCTCCAGTGTGGCAAAATGCTGTAGCAATGACTTACTATTTCCTCCCTTTGGCATTGCTTAATTGCAGTGCTGAGCACTGCTGCAGCCAAGGTGCTCCATTAACATCAAGTGCCTTAAGGGGCAGGACCGGGCTGTCACCTTTCATAGTTAAACCAGACTGAACATTGGCTTTAGCCCCAGTCTGATCTAGCACCCTTCAGCCTCAGGAATGAGTGGACGAAGGGACTTTAAAAAAAAAAATACACATGAATGTTTGTAGGAGTTTCATACCTCATGTGAGGAAGATGAGGGGACTACCAAGACCACCATCCCTGTGCATCAAATGGGCTCCGCAGCTCTGCTGGGATGGATTAGCCCCARCTGCCTCCTAAGCATCACCCCCTCCTCCATCCCACGTCCACGACCTGGGATGTGAGAAAATGCAGGGGCTGAGATAGAGCCAGTTTAATAAAAAAAAGCAGAAGTCGTGCACACAGGCACAGCAAAGAAAGCATTCTACAAGTGCTCAAGGGCAGGCAGGTGTCCAGCCACTCCAGGAAMTTCATSACTTGGGAAGACAAGCACTCTCTCCCTTACTGTGCCCCACCCTTTGCCCCAGCTGTAGATGCTGATCATGATGTCCTTTGGTCCACTGGGATCAGCTTTCCCAGCTSTGTTCCCTCCCAGCTCCTTGTGCACCCTCAGCCTCCTYTCTGGCACATGGCTTGAGCAGCAGAATGGCCTTGACTGTATGAGTACTGCTCAGCAATGAAAACAGCCCTGAAGTACCCAATTTCAGGCACCAAGCCTTCTGTTAGCTGCTGTGAAGAAAAAGAACTTGGTTGTCCCAGACACAACCAGCACAACTGCAGAAGGCAGAAGTCTTTTAAGTCAAAATTATCTGGCACTCCCATTGACTTTCTACTCTGTAACAGCCATTATCAGCTGCAAAGATAAATCAAAATGCCAATTATCCTGCAGTATTTTATTAAATCTTTTGATAACCTGTCCATGAYGAGATGGGGCCAGTCTGATTTCCCAAAGCAACCACAGATGATGACAACCACAGCAAGGCCTTCCCCAGAGTACACTCCACTGGTAAGATGGGACCAGGCAGACTGGGTCAGACAGGAGAGGAACTTGAGTTCTCACTTCCCCAYTGATCCTGCTCCTTAAACATGATCTGCAGGTTGTGCTTAGGACCTGTCATCTCCACAAAACCCCTCAAATCTCCTAAAAATAGCATGCAAATATATTACCTTTTGCACCAGAACTGCCACTTTTATCTGAGTATCACAAATAGTATTTGGACAACCATGATATAAAACAAGATTTCTAAAAACATTTACTTCAATAGTTTACATTCCAGAAGTAATTCCAATACCTTCAGATGAGAAGCTCCCTGGTCCTTTAATGGTCATAACAGGACAGCGCTCACACATATATTTGAAAAAACAGTTTATGTTCATTGTAGACATTTTTGAAAGTCAAACACTGGGTGTACCAGGACCTGCAGAGAGGTTTTCTGCCTCCCCATGCTTTAAACAGGAAAGAGTAACACAAGGCATCGATCACTGTAACATTCCAGCCCRAATGACACTTGGCACTGGTACCTTTTCTCTCTAACTGGTGCTGTGTAGGCCTGAAGACACACATGGCTGCCTCACCTTCCCAAATATGAACAGCAGGGTTATCACAATTTACTWCTTAGTTAGAAATGCAGTTTATTTCAATGCACCAATAAAAAAAAAAAGCCCAACATCTTCAGATCACAGTACATGAACACAACAGAAGAGTTTTGTATTAGTCTGCTAGWAAGACTTTTAGAAGATAGAGATTCATGCCAATTGCTAGTCAATATAGTCAATASAAACAGCCTTGTTGGACTAAGCCCTTACATCACAAAATCCCTTATAATGTAAACAAAATATTTTTTTACTAAACTTCTTAAATTTGAACGCATTCTTTTAGGAGTTTCATTCCTTTAAGGGCTTCCTGATGGTGAGTGACTGAAAGGGAAAAAAAAAACCAAAAAACAAAACATTAAGAACAACTCCCTACAGCAATACCAACAGAAACTGAATTCTACCCTRGTCTTCCTGTGCTCAGGAGTACCACCCCCCTTTTCATTTACAGGTCTCAAATAATGAAAGAAGTGTCATATTTTGTACTTTATAAAGTTAAAAACTACTTTAAGTGTGAAAGCTGAAGACAGAAAGCTGAGCTGAGACATCAGGCCTGCTCAGAAATCTCAATTCCAGCATGTACTTCTCTGCTAACATAGGAAACCTTCATGGTTCATGGTGCCTAGCGCAGCCTGGCAGCTGTGCAACTCCTGAGCCTGCGGGAGTCACCAGCAGGAATTTAATCCTCCAACATACTCATGGTCTGCTCCACGCCTCWCATTACTCACTTCTTCCCCAGATTCTAAATTCCTGAGGAACACTTCATTAAAGTAGGTTTCCTTGAGTTATTATCATAACATTCTGACTACCAGCAGCAGGAAATGCCCACCAACAACTCCTCTTTTTGTAATTCAGAGATTTACTCCTCTTTTTGTAATTCAGAGTAAAAAACCTGAGCTTTATCCTTGCCCAAGTTAACTTCTATAGGAACAGCTCCAGCTCTAATGCTGTTTAACCATAGGACAGACTGCAGTCTTAAGGCATTCCTACCTTCTCTTTGGAGATGGTGATCTGGACTTTGAGCGGCTGTTCAAAAAACAAAACAATCAATGTGGTTGGTACACTCAGAAGCCACTTCTGACCATTTATAAAACCAGAACAATCTGATGCTGTTAAATGCTTTAACACTACTGGTAGCAAGGGTACCCAGTTACTTTAAAGCAAGAAGCTGCAGGTGAGAAGGAAAAATGCTGGGAGCTGGAGCCCTTGGGAAAAAGAGCAACACACAGCTTCGAAGCTGCTGTAAATCACAGTAACCCTGCAAAGCAGGAGCAGTGAATCAAGCAGAGTTAGGGAGAGGGAGACCTACAGACATTTGAGAACAAAGGTAGGAAAAAATGTGTCCCAAATCCTGTCAAAAACATTTYTGTGATGAGTGAAAAACATGTATACAAAATCCTGGATGAACTGCCTACTGTCTCACAAAAAAAATCAGCTGTTAAAAAAAATCCATAATGTATGAAAAATGTTTCCCAAAACAAATAAAAAAAAAAAAAAAAAAAAAAAAAAAAAAAAAAAAATCCCGCAACAGAAAACCTTCCACCACATGCAACTGAAATACTGGTCCAAAGAGATTTTGAGTCCTGAGGAAAAAATCAAAGAATCCCACAAAAAAGCCCCACCAACCAAAACAAAATCCAACTGAGTGGTAYTTGTATTTGAACGCTCACCTTTTAGCAGGTAAGCCAGATTTAGATCTACCATGAGACTCAGACCTACAACAGGAGAAAAATAAAGCTCAGCAAAGCAGCCAGTGGGCATGCAAATACAATGAGAGTTAGCTACACCAGCAACAGCAAATTCACACCAAGCAGCAGTACCAACCACAGAGGGAAGGCTCCGGTGCTGCAGGCTTTCCTTAAGACATTTCCAGAGAATCCTTCAGCTCTTATTGCACAGACCCCACTTATTGGAAGACACGARTGCAAGCACAAGGAAGCTCCCCAGCAAAGCTTCAGCTACCAGTTTCACAAAACACCAGACCAGATCCCCACACTTCCTACCTGCAAGTATCCCTTCTCTAAAGGGAAAAATAGTTTCAAGTGTCATCTTAGAAAGTATTTTAACAGCACATTAAGAGCCTGGAATCAGCCACAAGTAATCATTTGTGCTGAAGAGCTGGTGCCTTCTTCAGCTCAGGTTCCTAATGCCAATTTTATTCAAGTATAATAAAGACTTTGTATCAGTACCTGGCTGCTTATGAGTAAACCATTGCCAGTTTATCTTAGAAATTAAAATCTACCTAAACAGTGACACTTTCCTCCTACATTTATTATGTTACTTTACCAAATCTAGTATTTGCTGTTACTTAAYAAATATTTGTCTTCTCAGAGTGTTAGATTTCAGGCTATCACTCAACATCAGAATACTCAGTTCAATAAACTTTGCCAAAAAAAGTGAGATACTATTGCTCTATTTCTGCTCAGAACTATTTGTGAAGGGTAATCAAGATTCACCTTTACCCRGCCTATTAACTCAGGGAAATACTACATGGCCACTGTTGGCACATGTTAAACAAAATGTTATGTGCCACTACTTTGAAACCTTTCTGGTCACTATCCTGAGCCACTGCCTGTCCCAGTTCCTCCCCAAAACAAGTAACTTTTTACTGGATCTCAGTTACAGAAGATGGGATTGCTCACAACCACCCAGAACTGGTGCTTTATACCATGGCTAAATAAAGGGCAGCACACAAGACCATCCTCAATTTATTATACCTAAGAATTAACTTTGTTTTTAAGAACGCTCTCTACAAACCTTAAATTGTAAATCACTACTTTTGTCTGTGAAAAGGCATAAATTATWAAGTGCAAATACTGCTATGCAGGACAGCCTTCTAAATCCTTCCAGACAAATTCCCCAGAAAAGAACAAAAAATCAAACCAACCAAACCAACAAAAAAGACCTCAAAAAAAAAAACACCCCAAAAAAACAAACACCACACAACCAAAAAACCAAACAAACCAACRAAACAAAACCCACAATCAAACATCACACAAAAACTATTACTACTTTGAATTAAAACAAATGTTAAAACAAATGTCTCACCTGCTTCGAGGCCATACAACAGATCGAGACCTGGAGCGTGATCTGGATCTAGATCTAGGAAAAAGCAATTAAAGCTCTACTATCACAAGCTTTATACAACTGAGATAGAAATCATTGTACATGTCCCAGAAGACTAAGAATTTTGTTGGACTGTTAATTTTGCAGAAGTAACTTTTATTAGTAAAAGGCTGTAACACCATTGGTCAGTACTGCCATGCATATAAAAAAAATCCCAGTGTCTTATATGACTAAGAAATTACACCCCGTACACTTGAAGCTGAATTTAGAAATTTTAACCACACAGCWGGGCCATAAACTTTGGCACAATGTTAGGGGGAAAAGAAAACTTAGGAACAGCATATAAAATTATATGCTTAGATTTTTAATATCAAGAAAGCATTCAGAGTAGCTCCTAGGCATGTAACAGCACAAACACATGGGTTACAAAACATAAAATTATTGTTTACATTATATATGCCATATATAGGTACTTGATATTTCAAGTTYTGTGCCCTTCAACAATGCTGTGGGTTGAACAGCAAACACATACCTTGACCTTCTTAGAGAACCAGAGCGGGACCTGCGGGGTGAGAATGATCTGTATCTACGAGGCGAGATCGACCTGGACCTACGGTAGGAAGCTGACCTGGATCTGCAAAACAAAGTGAAAAACAACCCATTCACTACAAGGAACTTCTAACAGCAACTACAATAAAAGAAGGGGCAGGGGACCCAGAGGGAGGAGTAAGAAAAATAATAAAAATACGGAAGGCAGAGCCTCACCTCCTACCACGGCTGCGACTGCGTGACCGGGAATACCTTCTTCCTCGGGACCTCGAGCGGGATCTAGACCGGGACCTGGGTTTAGGTTAGAGAAAACAGGTATCAGCACACTGCTGCAGCAACCAGCACGTGTGAGGCCCTGCTGAAGTCAAAACTTTTTTCAGACAACTAAAAAGAGAATTTAAAAATAAAACAAAAAAAAAAAGAAAAACCAAAAAATCAAACCAAACAAAACAACAAAAACACACCACTAGCATCTGTCAGTTGGAAAAATGTCTGGGCCTACTTGTCTTGAGCATTTTTACTACCTAGAAAAATGTTAAAAGCTGAATTACATTGCAGAATTACATTAGAATAGAAAACACTGTAATGCGTATTTAAAATAAACCTTGCAAGTTTGCAGGTCGACCCTCTTTGGCCCAAGGTCTAGCAGATCTAGACGATCTAGAAGTATCTATAGGCGAGCGCTGCATCTAGGTAGGTGTTCTCTTCAATCTAACGACGATCAAACTGACAGCCCAATGAGCCAGGGTGAGGCTTGATTGACGCAAGAAGATTTTTCTAGGTGGGAATGTGGTCAATCTGGTGTTCCTCTTTCTAAACCGGAGGGGGGCCCCAATTGAAAGCCAAATTTACTGTTACGGCGGTCACCGTCTCAAATTTTCTGCCCTTAAAGAATAAGGTGAAGCTACGTGTAGATGGCTCGAGGGGATCTGGCCTCTTATGCTGATCACCTCAAGGTCTAGGAGGATCTTAAGTGTCGGATTTGCAAGGCGCCTCAGCATGAAATCTTAAGGCTCGTGACATTCTGAATCAAGGCGACTGACTCAAACGAAGAAACCTGAAAGGTTTTGACCAGGTTGATTATTAAGATATTAACATTTTATATGTATTAGCAAAAAAAAAAAAAACTTGTGATATACACCTGTTGACTTACGACATTAAGAGTTAAAACTGGTGTAACATTCTGTTCTTTGCTAACAAGAACTACACAAAAGCGAGCTGGCGAAGCAACGCGGCCGCCCCGGCCCCGCACGTACCTGCTCCTCCTTCGGCGGCTATAGCGGTGACAGTCATAGGCATAGTGGCCTTTCTCACCACACTCGTAGCATCTGTCGTTGGGGTCGAAAGGGCGCCGGGCAGGGGGCCGGTCATAGCGGGAGCGGCGCGGCATCCCTGTGGATACTTCCACTCTGACCCTGGAGCCGCATATAATCCTGAAAGACACASCAGATAGTAGCCAAAGGAGTATTCTTTGATCTGCTCAAGCAACGAACACGAGAAATCCATGACTGGGGTGGGGTGGGGAGATCGGGGACTGCGGCGCTCAGGAAATTCCCTGCATGCACGTACTTCCCATCGAGGCCAAGCACTGCATCTTCAGCATCCCGGGGGTCTTCGAACTCCACGAAGGCGAACCCCGGCGGRTTCCTGGCGATCCACACGGTTCTCAGCGGTCCGTAGTAGCTGAAGGCTCTCTCGAGCTCGCCTTTGCCGGCGCCCGTGCCCAGGTTCCCCACGTACACCTTGGTCTCTGCGGGGACACGCGGCCGCCATGTCAGAGCCGCACGCGGCCCGGCCTCCCCTCCCCCTCCCCGCCGCCATCTTTGACACCGCGTCCATTTTAGAGCGCTCCCGCCGGGCCCCGCCCGCCCTCCACAGACCCCGCGGCCACGGCGGGGATCCCTAGCGCCCCTCTTCCCGCCGCCGCCGTCCCCCTCAGCGGCCGCCTGAGGGAACGGCCATATTCTCCCACAGCCACAGCGGCACGAACGCCGCTGTTCCATCCCCATTCCCCTCGCCTCCCTGCCCCCATTAGAAGCCCACACGCTGTTCTCAGCGCCCCGAGCTCCCCGCCGACCGTACCATATCGCCCGTATCGCGACATCCTCCCGACGGCAGCGCGAGCGCGGGCAGGCGCGACCCTTATATAGAGGAGCAGCCGCTGCGCCTGCGCGCCGCGCGGGGGGCGGGGCCGGACGCCTCCGGCGCGCGCGGCTCTCGCGAGATCTGCTTCCCGCGCGGCGCTCGGGCGGGAGGCGGCCATGGCGGCCCAGCGGCCCCGGAGCCGTGTGGGGATGTCCCGGAGCCGTGTGGGGATGTGAGGCACGGGCCGCCCTCGGGCTCCTCCGGGACACAGCCTCGCCCCCAACTCTTTTCCCCCCTGTCGGAAAAGAGAAGGGAGCCACTTGTTCCGTTTTGCACCCCTCAAGCGTGACCCATGGCGGCTTCTGCCCGCACTGAGGGTGGAGCAGCTGAGACCGTGCTTCTTATTCCTTGGAACAAGGAATTCCCAAACTGCTCCAAATCTCTTGTGCTGGCTCACCTCGGATACATCCCAACCAACCTTCAGAGCTCAGGCACTGGTTTATTCCCTCAACTCTGACAACACAGCAAGAGCTTTTGCATCTTTCCATCTCCCAGCCTTTTCAGGGRGACACACACAGAAGTGGATGTGCAGTAGACGTTTTTAAAGAAAAATCAGCACAAACCTGACAGATTTGAAGTAATTTTAATAAGTCCCAGAAGGAATGAGGAGCACCTTTTACAAAAAGGGCTAGCCAGACTTTCCAGCTACATTTCAGCACACCAATGTGTTTTGGTTCTTATCTCCTAATAAGGCAGAACAAATACACTGAGATAAATGAGGGCTCTAAATGTTCCTCACTGCATTAATAATCTCAGGAATAATCACATGATTCCTCTAGTGTTTGTTGGCATAAACTAGAAACAAAGCATTAAGAAACACAAAACTTACAGAATTGCAACAAATTTTCCTTTTACAGAACACTGRTTTGCCAAACACTGCTGCTCTAAAATAACAAATAGAGAGAGAGAGAATGTTTTTAAAACCTATTTGCTAACCTTCCCTAATAATTTTATAAACTTGGACATACACTGTAACGTAATTCATGTTCTAAACCAGAGARCAGTTATGGGGAAAACAAGCCAACAACCAACCAACCACGAAATCAACAAAACAAACACCTTTCTAAACAGATTTTTAATTTGGTTTGGGAAGTCCAAGTAATAATTCTCTTTCTAAAAAAAAAAAAGGAAAAATAATCTGGTAAGCAGTTCAAATAAACACATCTTCAGCACAAGGTAAGCTAATTTTAAAGGTAGAGGGAAACAGCTTAAATTTATCATATATCATGTTTCACAACACTGTGAAAGTACAAAAATACTAAACTGACAAATTAAACTGATAAATCAGTTTAATAATTCAGCGTTATCCAACAGACTGCTTTAATAAAAACAGTGCATTGAAAATGCTTGTGCTTTCAGTTTATACTTTGTGTTTTATCCCTTCCCTGACMTACAAAATATCAGATAAAAGTACCTATTTCTGCAAATAGTGACTATTGATACCTGTGAGAGCTCCAAAAACAGGTGAGTTCCTAGAGCCAAAGGCTTTTAGCAGCAGGACTCAGTGCTGTTTCTCCAGGTAGCCCTGCAGCAAGCCCTGCACGCGGGCCAGGATGATCTCGTTGGAGCTGCTGCACTGCTCGGGCCCGTACGGGGGGTCGATGGTCAGCACCCCSGCCACGCACAGCGTCCTGCCCAGCTCCCCCTGCTCGGCCACGGGGATGTGGTTTGTCTCCAGCCAGGTCTTCAAGGCGTTCTTCCTCTTGTCCAGCTCCTCTGAGCTGTAGGCTTGGCTTTCCTCGGGCGCGAAGATGCGAGCGAGGCGCTGCTTCATGTGGCTGTCCCCTTCTYGCAGGATTTCCACCTCTTGGACAGCGTGGCCCATGATGAACGATATAGATGCCTTTTCGTTCTCTGGGAATGTTGCAAGGACAATGCTGTCAAGGAAAGAAGATTGTGTAAGTTCCTGTTCTTAGCAGAAGACTGAGAAGCAGTCTGCAAGATTTTGGAGATGAGAGTTCATTAGCATTAGCTGAACCCAGGCACTCAGGCAATATCGAGTACCCAGCATTTTGCTCTGAAAAGCATTCTGCAATGCCTTAAAATACTAAAAACGTGGGGCTTTGCAGGCAACTGCTGGTATTGAATTTGAAACTACTCTAGATACTATAAAGCATAAGGCTAGTTTAAAAAAAACAAAGTGTTCATAATAAAGTTGAGGCTGGGAACCTAAATATTTTTGTGCAGCTTTCCCAACACTGCTAAAGAATCTAGGTCTTTGAATATTCAGGAACAGTGATACCTTCATACATTCAGCACCTTGAACGTTGAAGGCAGCTAACAACACCAAAACCTTYTAATGAAAAMATATTARTATTTATTGATCMTTGCTAAAAAAAWAWWWTTAAAAATTACTGTTGCCASTTTRTGAAATGAAAATACAACAGGAACACACTACAGCAGGTTCAGGCCCTGCTGGTCTTTTCCCAAGGGCACTTGCATCCCAGAAGTCCTAAAATGCAGGAAGGCAGATTGTTTTATTTCTAGGATCTCTCCCTCATATATGAACAAAGAGCATCAGAAACCATTTYCATGTTCTTGTGGGAAGCAAAATTCCCGAACTCAATGCCAGCACTTCACTAATCTATTATTTGCCACCATTATTGCAAGTCATGGCTTTCTGGAATGTTTTAATTTTCAGCCTCCATCCTGTGTTCATGTGGGACAAGCTTGCAACCAAAAAGATGTCAAAGAGYTCTGGCAGCAAGGAGACAAATTTCTGCCCATTGCCTGGTGCATTCTGCCTTTCAAACCCTATTTTCAAGATACCAGAGATGTGTGCTACCACTTTGTGTCCAATGCCTGATTTTACCTGCTTGCTCTCCAAAGAAGSCTTTACACCTTCACAGATGTCTGGCTGGAGTGGAAAGCAGGGCATCATGGAAAGAACTCTGGACAGAGGGTAAAGGATTTCAATACCTAAAGCATTAAAAACACCCCTGCATTCCTGTTCTTTGTAAAGCAAGGTTTGGAATATYATTTGCTGAAGCCTTGGCTGCAAGCTGTGAACTTTTACCTTGAAGATATTCAGCTGCAATAGARTTGGTTTTCTTAGCAATTTTCCTAGAWGCTGGYACAGTGCTGAGTGTGGAATTTATTRTAAGAATAACACACTGATAGCACAGTGRTATTTTGGTTGTTGCTAAGCAGTGCTTRCTCTAAATCAAGGACTTTTTCATTTCACARACTCAGCCAGCGATGAGGTGCACAGGAAGTACAAACCAGAAGATAAGGAGGCTGCAGCCATCAGCAGAAGCTGCAATTTGACAAGATAACATGCCATTTTTGCTCCAAATAAGTTTGTTTCAGCCTTGGGATATTTTCTCCTCCTAAAAATCTTATTTCTATTAGTTTTATTCTATTAGAAGTAAAAGCTTTGGTACTTACCTGGCAGAAACTGGGTCAACTGTTAAAACCCATCCTTCATATTGAAGTTTCTCAACTGCGATGACTTTCACCAATTTGTTCACATACGTTTCCCAGTCTAGAGGGCTTTTCTTCTGCCAGTCATTCATATTTCCTRTATCCAGGACCTAGAAAACAACCAGAGCAATCAGCAAATGCAATCCATCTTTTTCCTCTGCTCTTCACATCAGAACTGGGTTTGCCTCCAGGTAAAGATTTGTCTTAACCAAAATTTGCCTTTTCTTTCCAAGCAGACATTCACACAAGTGGTTTGCATAGAGCTGCAGTTCTGCAATTCCCCACAGAACTCGCTTGTTTTCAAAGGCACACAGCAAAGCCTCAAAACCCACTGTTGTGATAGCATTACGCTTTCCCGTGGCAATCAACACTCCATCTATTGCTCTGCCTTCTTACAAAACCTTGGAGGTAAAAGTTCACCGCCTTCTTTGGCGCACTGGCGCATCACTGGTGCCCGAACCATCCCACCGCCTGCGGACAAGCTTTATCCACGCAGCTCCCGGCTCTCCTCCCCTCCGGTGGAGCAGCAGCAATCGCTGTTCCATTCTTTTCACCGCGAGCGGGGCCGCGGAGCGATGGATGCAGCGCGGTCCGGTCACAGCACAAACGGCTGGAGGCCGCTTTGTTCCCCGCAGGCTCTCCGGGAATGCCTTCCCGGCAGGGATAGCCTGCACAGCCCGGCTCAGCGGGGGCAGGAGCCCCTCCCGGTCCCGGTCCCGGTCCCCATCCCGCTTTCCCTCTCACCGGCCCCGGTTCCCGTTCGCGTTCCCGCCGAGCGCCCCTGGGAGCTGCCCCCGGGCGGCAGCGCCGCTTCCTGGAGCCGCTCTGAGCGCCTTCCCCCGGCACGGGTAAAGCACTAAAAGCTCCTTTACGGAGTTTTACAGCTATGGGGKTACAAATAAATTGACATAGAGGTTTACACGGATGAGGCCAGGGCGTGTGGCACTTCAACCCCGCTGCCTTCTGCCCCTCTGGCGCTGGATTTGCTGCTGGGACACTGACTGCAGCTTCCACATGCCAAGCCGTGCCTCATCCGTGGGCATTAACAGGGCTACATGCATGCTCTGTGCACCTGGTACATAAAAATAAAACATTTTTGCTCCCCGGTTGCTTTTAACAAGCTTTCTTGTGCCGCAGTGAAGGCGAGAAACTTGATTCCAACACCACCCCTCCGCCCCAAACTGCTCTATTTCAGCAGTACTCATGGAAAACTTCCTATGGATGAACCAAACAAGCTGCTAGTCGTTAATTCAGTGTTTTGTCAATAATCTGTGAAAGCCAGCATGCAATGATTTTGTGAGTTTTAACAGAAGAATTARAAAGGRTATGAAATCAAGGTTTTGCAGGCTTAAAGAGGTGTTCTCCTTTTTTTCTTCTTGGAAGTTTCARTTCAGTCTCTACAGCACTACAGGGATTCAGTAGGAATGTCTTACATGTTTTCTTTTAGTTATAGTTTTATTATTAGAAAAGAGGGRATGCAAATCTAATTGTTTTCACTCTAAGAACAAGCACTGGCCTGTGCCAGCCTTCACACAAGCTGATRGGGRCCTCACCTCCAATACTGGAYGCGTCCAAGGATTGCTCCCACAAAAGAGGTGCCAGGACAGAAAGGCCTTACTGGCTTTATTTCCATTGCACAGGTGACCACTTGCAGCACGAGCAGTCAGCCTAGAGGTTCGCTTTCTCAAGGAAAGGTTCTCCCGATGCGCTCAGCCCTTCAATTCCTCTCCAGGCCCCAATTCCCCTTCAGGAGCGCTCCCGCCCCGCCCCGCCCCCCGGCGCGCGCCACCGCCCCGTGCGCATGCGCGCCTCCGCGAGGCGCGGGGGAGGCGGGGGCGCGGGGCAGGGGGCAGGCGCGTGCGGCGGCGCGTGCGCGCGGGCGGCGGAGCCGTCGGGATGTCGCGTTACGGCCGCTATGGAGGCGGTGAGAGCTCCCGGGGGCCGCGGGCGGCGGGGCGGCTGCGCGGGGTGGGAGCCCAGGCGGGTCTGGGAGAGAGGCGATTGCCGCGGGGTGCTGGGCGGCCGGCGGGAGCCGGTCGGGAAGGGAAAAACGCGGGAAGGCGATGCGGCCGCGGTCGCTGCCGTTGCCGCCGCCGCCATTTTGCGTCAGCGGCCGTGGGGGAGGGCGCGCGGCCGGGCGCGCGGCGCTCGCGGTGAAGGCGGGAAGGGCCCGCGCGGACAAGATGGCGGCAGCCAGCGGAGGGCGGGGCGGGGGATGAGGMTGAGGCTGAGCCCGACCCCGCTCCCGGCCCGGTGCTGATACCCGCTCCGCTCCCGCCKCAGAGACCAAGGTGTACGTGGGGAACCTGGGCACGGGCGCCGGCAAAGGCGAGCTCGAGAGAGCCTTCAGCTACTACGGACCGCTGAGAACCGTGTGGATCGCCAGGAACCCGCCGGGGTTCGCCTTCGTGGAGTTCGAAGACCCCCGGGATGCTGAAGATGCCGTCCGTGGACTTGACGGGAAGTACGTACTCATTTCTCGTGTTCGCTGAGGCTGCTGAGAGAGAATCGGGAGTTTCTCTTTCGTTCTTGTGTTTCTGTAGTTCTGACATAGACTGTAAGGTTTAACACAGAGTTTCATGCACTTGTTGCAGGGTGATCTGCGGCTCCAGGGTCAGAGTGGAAGTATCCACAGGGATGCCGCGCCGCTCCCGCTATGACCGGCCCCCTGCCCGGCGCCCTTTCGACCCCAACGACAGATGCTACGAGTGTGGTGAGAAAGGCCACTATGCCTATGACTGTCACCGCTATAGCCGCCGAAGGAGGAGCAGGTACGTGCGGGGCCGGGGCGGCCGCGTTGCTCCGCCAGCTCGCTTTTGTGTAGTTCTTGTTAGCAAAGAACAGAATGTTACACCAGTTTTAACTCTTAATGTCGTAAGTCAACAGGTGTATATCACAAGTTTTTTTTTTTTTGCTAATACATATAAAATGTTAATATCTTAATAATCAACCTGGTCAAAACCTTTCAGGTTTCTTCGTTTGAGTCAGTCGCCTTGATTCAGAATGTCACGAGCCTTAAGATTTCATGCTGAGGCGCCTTGCAAATCCGACACTTAAGATCCTCCTAGACCTTGAGGTGATCAGCATAAGAGGCCAGATCCCCTCGAGCCATCTACACGTAGCTTCACCTTATTCTTTAAGGGCAGAAAATTTGAGACGGTGACCGCCGTAACAGTAAATTTGGCTTTCAATTGGGGCCCCCCTCCGGTTTAGAAAGAGGAACACCAGATTGACCACATTCCCACCTAGAAAAATCTTCTTGCGTCAATCAAGCCTCACCCTGGCTCATTGGGCTGTCAGTTTGATCGTCGTTAGATTGAAGAGAACACCTACCTAGATGCAGCGCTCGCCTATAGATACTTCTAGATCGTCTAGATCTGCTAGACCTTGGGCCAAAGAGGGTCGACCTGCAAACTTGCAAGGTTTATTTTAAATACGCATTACAGTGTTTTCTATTCTAATGTAATTCTGCAATGTAATTCAGCTTTTAACATTTTTCTAGGTAGTAAAAATGCTCAAGACAAGTAGGCCCAGACATTTTTCCAACTGACAGATGCTAGTTCTTTAGTTGTCTGAAAAAAGTTTTGACTTCAGCAGGGCCTCAGACGCGCTGGTTGCTGCAGCAGTGTGCTGATACCTGTTTTCTCTAACCTAAACCCAGGTCCCGGTCTAGATCCCGCTCGAGGTCCCGAGGAAGAAGGTATTCCCGMTCACGCAGTCGCAGCCGTGGTAGGAGGTGTGTTTAAGTTTGCTTTTTATCTTTGTTGGCTTCTTGTGTTCAGTAAAAGCTTCAGTTGAACAACTCTTGAATTGATTTCTTTGCAGATCCAGGTCAGCTTCCTATCGTAGGTCCAGGTCCGTGTCTCCTCGTAGGTCTAGGTCCGTGTCTCCCCGCCGGTCCCGGTCGGGTTCCTTGAAGAGATCGAGGTAATTAATACTAATTTTTAAAAGGCTGTTTGCTTTTTTTTTATTGTTTTTTTTCTTGTTTTAATTAGGAAATTCCAAAAGGTATTGGATAGCAGACTTTAAGTGGTGCAATTCTTTAAAACTCAGTATGGTTTAAAAAGTTTTTGATAATCTTAGTTAAATTCACAGGCATGAATTTTGAGACATTACTTTGAGAYAGTGGCATTTCCTGTGATTAATTTCTTTCTAAAATGTCTAATAACTATGTAGGTTTTAAGTGAGCATTTAGACATTAATTCATATAGTGTTGTAATTGTCATCACTGCTGCTTGAGTTGACTTCAGTTTAATTTATCTTAATTTTTTAATTTTAGGTCTAGATCAAGATCCAGATCTAGATCCAGATCTGTTACATGGCCCAGAAGCAGGTATGTAGATAGCTGGTAAAAATTGCTTTAAAGTCTTTCTAGGCTCTCTAGCAACCGTAAATGGTTTGTTTTTTTTTTTTTTTTTTCAGAAAAATGTGGTTTTTTGTCCACTTACTTAGGGGCCTGTAGTTTTAAAAAGCAGTGCAGAAGATTGTTCTTCCTCTTTTTATTCTTTTGCACACCACTAACATCTGGGTCCCTGTAGTCATCAGAAATCCTGGTCTGATCAGGTTGTGTTAACAGCTAGCAAATGTAGAATTAATCTGAAGAGTTCCATTTTCTTTGTGTAGCACACACACGATTGTGGATCCTTCCCACAGTGAAAGCAGGATGCCCTTCCAGTGGTTTTAATGCCTCAATGTCTGCAGCCAGACGGGTCCTGAAGGGCTTGCTGGTTCTCTGAGCATTACAGCTGCAATTCCAGCTCTGTTGAATATCAGCATCAGTCTGCAGGAACTGATTTTAATTTGAGATAAACACCTGTCAGAATTATTTTGTGCCTATAAATGTGTCACAAGAGTAATAATCAAATTTTAAAGGAACACAGGATGTCCTTTGTTGTCTTAAACTTTATTTGATAGTAAGTGCAGCCTGTGGTTCTTTGAGCCTGTCTAATTCATTGTCCTGGCAGCAGGGCTGACTGGATGTCCTGGTAAGAACAAGAGTAAATGAAGTTCTGCTCTGGAAGTGGAGCTGCTTATGGCCCTGTGCCTGCTGTGCTGGTTTTAATGGCTTTTCTTTGAAACAAGTAACATAACAGCTGTGAAGAAACAGAAACACAGGGTAGCTTTAGCTGAAGGGAGCAGGTGGAAAAGCCACAGCCGCAGGTGGCGTTTGCTGAGGATGGAACAGCAAGCAGTGATGGGAATTTTAAGGAAAGGAGCAATGAAGACAAGAACAGAAACTAACACAAATTGTCCAGAAGCTAGTAAAGAGAGAAGCAGGTTCCCCAAGGCAGTAGAGCAGTGGCTTTCACTGACTGGGTACACTTCCCTATATGTGGTTAAACCACATTGATTCTTGGTGCTGGTTGTTCCAACATGACTTAATCGTGGCTGATCACTGCTCACTGTCAGTGATGGGCAGGAAACAGCTACAGTCAGCAGACTTAAAGAGAAAAACATTTTGATTTTCCCACCATTGTTTTCTCTTTTTAGTATTTGGGTGGTTTTCTGAGGGGTAAAGGATACTTGCAGTGAAATTTCTAGACTATTGTGTGACACTTTCCAATGTAAATTGGGATTGACTGAGACGTAGAAGTTAAAAGATGTACAACTAGACAGAAATGGCAAAATAACAGTGCTTAAGCAATTGGAAGATGGTATCTTAACAGAAAAGTCCAAGAAATGCATTGCAGCCAGAGACAGGCTCTGGATTCATGAGGAATACAGACTGAATAAAGACTGTGTAATATTTGCTGGTCTGACAGTGTCACAACACGCATCTGGAAGTTGTTGTGGAAAGCCTTGGATGTGGAATGTAGAACACTTCCTTGGGGGACCTGAAAATTTCAGTGAGGCTTTCAGGCAGTGTTAGTGTTGTTTTGGTGTAGCAGTCTCACAACGACTGACACTATTCACATCTTTTTCATAAGGATGAAGTTCAAACATTAAAAAAAATACTTCAAGCGAGTAGAGATATTTATGATGAACTTCGCAGAGAAAATACTTGTAGGAGTCTGCTGTCTGCTGCTGTAGTGGCAGGTGTCACTGAAGCCTAGTAAAACCTGCAAGGTTATTAGCTCTGTAAAAATACTGGTCAGGATCTGGGTTGTTCTTGTGTTCATGCCACCTGCATCAGCAAACACTGGTCATCAGCCAGGGACCAAAGTGCAGAGCAGGATGTGCAGCATCCAGTTAAAAAGATCTCTTTTGAAACTTAACCAGCACAGCCCTGGAAGCTTGCAGGGTTCTGTGTATTCAGCATCACAGCTCTCATCTACTGAGAGTGAATCCTGCAGTCCCAAATGTGGGAACCTGCTGGCTCTCAGTTTCCCTGCTTGAGCTGTTTTTTCTTGTTGCAGGTCTAGGTCTCATGGCAGATCAAAGTCTGGCTCGCCGGCTAAGAGGTGAGCACACACACATAAAGCCTGCAGTAGATTTAGATTTGTGTGATTAACAGAGCCTGGTCCTTTAGAAAAATATCCCCAAACGTGGATCCCCAGCCAATCTGTGATGTGACAGAAATTATGACATTTCCTCTGCAGCTCTTTGGAATGTGTTCCTTACCTGTCTGATTGTTTTCATTAACTCCTTGTAGTTTCCAACATAGTACTAATTTTTTGTGCCTTTGTGCTCAGTTCTGTTAAATATTTCTAGCCATCACATAAAAGAGCTTGAGCTTTGTTAATGCTTTTCATAAAACAGCAGGAATCTGGTGATGTTGCTTTCCTCAAAGCCTCACCTCTCTCAGTACCACCCCTTGTTCTTCTGTTTGCTGAAAAGGTTGCTTAAAATTCATCTCCATGTTAAAGGAATGGAGAATCCCTGTCAGAGTAAAAGTTGAAATGAAAACTTATAATTGCAAAGACCTTCTGGCTCAATTCCTATAATTCCATTGCTTTCTGATAGGATTTTTTTTTTAATATAAAAGCTGCATTTGACATTTAACCTGCATTAACAATGTTCTGTTTTGACAGCCGATCAAAGTCCCGGTCACCATCTCCAAAGAGAAGGTACGTTGGTCTCCCTACAAATAGCATAGACTCTGTAGAGCTGGCATTTTAGTGTCTGCACTAAATAGTATATCCTGAGGAGTTCCACTGCTGCTTGTAGGAAAATACTGGAGAGGTATTTTGCTGAGATCCCTTTAACAGCAATAATGTTGTGGTTGTGGCTTTCTACATGGTAATATGTTTATGTGGTAATAAATCCTCAGGATTATATAGCAGTGTCTTGTCTTTGTCTGCTTCGCTGTTCATTTTGGTTCACTGACAGTTTTATTGCACAGAATGATGAGCTTAAAGCACAGAATAAATATGGGAATCAATTTGCAGTCTCATTAAAAGCTGCATTGCTGTTGGGGAAGGTGGAGTGGAGTAAGCTGCCACAGCAATCAGGAATGGGAAATCAAGCCTGTTATGTTCACTGCTGTTAGATTATCTTTTTCTTTCCCAGTAAGTCAGTAAATAGTTTTCTCTCAGTGCGTATGCACAGAGAGAAATGTTAGAATACGTGTAGTGACAGAACCAGCAGCATTTTCCCCTTAATTAGAATTCTTTAATAGTTCATTTTTACAACTTAAGTGTCAGACAGTCACCAGGGCATCAATAAGTGCTCATAAGCTGAGTGATCACCATGATGGGTTTTGACAAGCTGCTGTATCACAAGAGTGAAGAAGCATCCTGCCCCTCTGGAGGTCACTATAAGTAATATCCTTTAGATGACCTCACAGTGATCTCATTACAAAAAAAAAAAAAAAA